TCCAGCACAAAGACCTAGACTCTGTGTGCAAACGCTGATTCTCTAAGGAAGCAGGTGGTTCTGTGGTTAGAGTATGGACTTAGCAAGAGGCAAATCTTACTCGGTGTAAGTCATGGCTCTGTGTGACCTTGGGCAAAGCCTCTTTGGGCCTTGATCTCTTCATCTGTCAAGTGCGCACGATGGATTGTGACAGCTGCAGGTGATGTGACTTAAAGCGCGTAGCACACTGTCTAGTGCTCAGCAAACTGGTAGTTTCTTTTTCTCCCCCTGATAGTGACAGAAAACAAGGTCTGATTCCCTTCTAAACGAGGAGAAAAGGCAGGGAAACATTCCTCTTTTGTCCTGAAAGTAGCTTTATAACTCCCAGACAGAAATTCCAGTTCTGCACCACGTAGACGAGTCACCAGGCACATGAACCAGAGCCAGGCGTGAGCCATGGAGGAGGTGAGAGAAGGGAGAAAGTCCCTCCCTGTGGGTGTTGGTGATCTGGACAGACTTCCAGGAACAGAGCGGGCAGGGACCTAAGGAAGGATAAAAGCCTCCTTTCACTCTCAGCAGAGCAGTCCCAAGAGCCATGGAAATGAAGTGAGAGGACAGCACAGACCTGTTTCACCAGTATGCAGATCATGTGATGGGGACACAAATGATTTAGCAAGAAGCAGCGTGACTCAGCCTACATCTGACTCTGCTGGTTCAGACGAGAGGAACTGGCTTGAGTTCAGCCAGACTTTCCTCAGGAGGTTTTGTTGGAATTCCACACGACCCAAGTTTTGAAGCTAGGACCAGAAAGGAGAGGAGAGCTCCATTTGTGGAGTGAGTCCTGTGTGCCGGGGACTTTCACAGCCATCACTGTGGGGATGGGGTGGGGGTGGGGCAGCAGATACCTTTCTATTGTAATCATCGTATCTACAATTGGCAGTTTTATTTTAGCAATTGGAAGAAAAATCTGAGTAAAAGAAAGGGATTTTAAGGTTATATTTTTTTTTTCCTGAAGGAACTTATTCATATCTGTATCTTTCACAGATTTTTTACCAGAATTTTGGATTTCTTTGAATGAACAAATCTCCTTGTGTTACATGTGAGAAGGAGAAATTTAGAGGAGTAGAGTGACTTGTCCCGGGTCACACAGCTGGTGTGTAGCAGAGAAAAGATTTCAAATCCAGTTGCTCTGATTACAGATCAGACACTTTCTGCAGCGTCACCCTGATGCCTACGAAGTGGGTTCTCTCAGCCCAGTGGTCTTCAGGCAGATGGGGAAGTGAAGATAGATAAGACAGGACCTCAAGGCTGCTGACCACCATGAGCGGTCAGGGTGATTCAGACTTTCTGATTTTGTCCAGCTCTGCTCACTCCTTTCCTAACCACCCTTTTGCAAGGCACCTAGGACTTTACTGAAGCCGCAGCAGGAATCATGATTCTGGGAAAGTCTCTTTGTGTTGGTCCAGGACAGGAACATGGCATTGTTGTGGTCAGGAGGTTTGACCTCCTCCCCTGCGTAAGGGGTACCTGCCCCTGTGGAGCCTCCTGACCCACAGGATGTCCCCAGGCTCATGTTTCCAAGGGAGCAGGGCGCTCCAGAAAGTACTCACCGATCCTGGTGAGGCCCAAGCCTCTGGCCTGGAGGGGCTCATTCAAACGGAGCTATGAACCAGCAAATCCAATCCATTCAGCAGTTAGATAGTGTGAAATGGAGGGAGTTATCAGAGCCTTTGATCAACCTCAAATCCTGGTGCGGCCAGCTTACTTCACAAATCACAAGTAGCCACCGGGTGGAAGGTCACTGTGCAATCTCTTTCTTTAGTAATTTACTTGTTTTGGTGAAATCAACCACAGTCATTGAGTAAATCTCATTTACCAAGGCAAAAGGTGAGGTAGATTTCTGAAGAGTGACTTTAGTGCCCGTCCTAGGCCAGGCAGGGTGCAGTGTGGTCTCATTTGGTCCTGGCAACTATGAGAGGGAGATCCTGCTCTCCCCGTTTCACCGATGGGGAGACTGAGGCTCAGAGAAGTGAAGTAACCACACACTTAGTAAGTGGTGGAGCCAGAACTAGAATCATTGCTGTCTCGTCCCCAGATTCACTTTACCGCTGTGCTGTCTCCTGAAGCCCCAGCTGCAGACACCACGATCAATCCCAAGATTGATCCCTGAGATGTTTCTCAGTGAATGTGTTAGTCTCCGGTGGATGGGGGAGCAAGCTTCCGTCTGGTGACGGAAGTCCCTGTCTGACTGCTTCCGGAAGAAATTCTTTTCCTTTGGCCCCTACTCCCTTTTCATTCACAAGCACCCTCTTCCTGAAGATATTCTAATGGCGGGTCTCTTCCTCTCTCCTCAAGTTCCTCTCGTGTATTTATAGTTTTCTTTTCTAAAGCCCCAGTCTTAAGTATCTGAGTCAGTGGAAGGGGAGATGTGTGCCTTGTCCGGTTGGGAAACCCACCCTTCCTCTGCCTCACCCTGATTCCCAAGGCTTCTGCACGGTGGGGCGGGGGAAGAGTTGGAGGATTTTGAATAAACCTTTTCTGAAGACCTGCAGATTTTCCGGTTGGGAGAAATTAGAAAATCTCAGGGCTACTAGGTCCAAATTCAGAGCAGGTTAGAGGGTACAACCGTCGTTGATTGAGCAGCACACGGTGCCAGCGCCAGATCTGCATTGTCACCGACGGTCCCACAGCCGGTCCGGTAGTGGTTGTCACACTGATTTTATGTGTGAGAAAAATGAACTTCCCTGAGGTTTTTCTGAGGAAAACCTGTGATCCTAGTTACCCAGCCTGCCCTGTCCAGACTTGAGGACTGGCCGGAGAGGCCAGAGCGTAGTGGACACAACACAGATAGACTACTCCTTGTTCCCTGAACTTGCCGTTGGCCTAAGGACTTGGGTTGGAGCCACGCCAGGATCGCCCCCATGCCCACTCCCCAGAGGAAGGATCTTTTGATTCGTGATTGCACAATCCACTGTTGGGTCATTTCAGCAGAAACGAGGGAGTAGCCTTTGGCCCCCAGATTATTTTTTGTGGTACTGAGTGCCTTGCTTGAAACTGTTTGATTTTTCACCATTGCTTACAGTGACGTTCTTGATTGGGACATACTAAGTACGTGTTCTGTAAGAATGCTGATAAATATTGTAAGTGATGAAAATAAAGATTTCATATAGAGCATTTCCTAATCTCTTTTTCAAAGACCCGTGGTATTCTACGAAGAACAGTTTGGGAAAGACTGGCCTGCTAAATAAAGGCCAAGGTCCTTGGTTTGACATCCAGTGCCCTTCACGAACTGCCCCTGCTTGCCTCTAGCCCCATTTCGCATCACCCCCCCCACACCCACACACACACCCACACACACACACACACTTACCCCACACAAACACACAGGTGTTTGCTGGAGTAAGGAGACGGTAGTGAGGGGTGTGTGCTCCAGGCAGAGTGACACCTTTGAAGCCAGCAGTCAGAGCTCCAGAGAACGTCACGTAGTCCCGGGACTTTTTAGGATATCTGTGGGAATCTGACTGAATTTATATATCAATTTATGAGTTTATAAGTTGAATGTTCTTAAGAATGAATGTTCTTAAAAATGAAACTTCTAGCTCTCTCTCTATTCCAATTGTCCTTAATGTCCCTTCCTTCATAAGGGTTCTGTGCAGTTCTTTATAAGTTAATTACTGTTTATTTAATCATCTTTGCTATTATGATGGTTTTACCTCTTCTTTTAGATCTTTAACTGGTTACTTTTTATGTGTGGGAGACCACTGATTTTTATCATTTGTTTAGCAGCCAACAACATCAACGCATCTTTTTATTATTTTTTCATTTGTTATTCTTAGATTTCCCAATACCACATTCCTATAATTCATAGTGATTATAAAGTTGCCTGCTGTTTTACAGGCCTGGGTTTTTGAGATAGTTTTCCCAGTAGTTGAGGATTCAGTGCTAATCACTTCCCACATGAGCAGGACTGCCTCCGGAATCTTCCACTCTTGCGTCTCCTCAACACCGGCCGCTGGTGTTCATTTGTCTCAGAAGGGCAGTCGGGCCTTCGCCCCTGCCCAGGCCTATCTTTAGCCGCCGGCCCCTCCCCTGGCTCTCTTCCCCTCTCTCCCGGCCTCTCCAAGTGCTTCGCTTTGATTTGTAGTCGGAAGCTCCCCTGGTCCCATCGCCTCTTCCCCCTCATTTCCAGGTTCCCACAGGAACCTGGGGAGTAGGTTGTGCCCAGAGGTTAGAACGGAAACTGCAGCAAGATAACTCTGAGGGACAATGCCCAGTTGACGTCATTTCAACTTCTTTGCTTCAGCCAGAGGTGGTTTTTTTCTTCTTCCATTTTTCTTCAGGTTACTCCTCTACCCTGCTCAGTCGAGTCTGTCAACCTCATTTGAAAGCTCTCTGGCATTGTCTGGTTGGTTTATGTGTTTCCTTATTTTCTAGTTAAAACCCATAATTCCAAGTAGTGACTTAGACACTCGTCCTTTGATAAGAATTGCTTTCTTTTGCAGCAGAAGCATCCGCTTGTGACTATCCTGATTGCCTCCCGTTATCATTGTGTATTCTATTTCCTTGGCAATCCTGAGAGGCCAGCAGCGTAGGGATGGCTTAGCCATTAGCCATAATCTCCAGGAAAACGTAGCAGTTGTAGAAAAGAAAGCTTTACTAACCCTGTTTACCGTTCTCTAATTTGTTTCAGTCAAGAAGAGAAAAGGGACCTAATGTTTATGAAGTGTGTGCTGTGTGCCAGGCAGCGTGCTTCGGCCATTCCCGTGGCTTATCTTGCTCAGCTCTCTCTAGCTTATCTCCCTAGAAAAGCTCCATTTTTCTTATTTTTTAGTGTAGCAACTAAGGCTCAAGGTTTAAATAACTGTCTTAAGGTCATGTCTAAGTTGGATATTCTTTTCACAACATGCCACTCAAGGTCCAGATGGCTCCATTTAGCAAAAATGCAATGCATGTCGACCTGGTGTTCTAATGCGGGTGAACAGCGAGTCACACGGTGCCTGTTCATTTTCTCTCTCCCCCAGCTGTACCTGCAGGCCCGCTTCACTTGGCGAGGTGCCCGCCTGCTCCGGCCCCTCCTGCAGTTCACTCTCATCATGATGGCCTTCTACACAGGACTGTCTCGTGTCTCTGACCACAAGCACCATCCCAGCGATGTCCTGGCAGGATTTGCTCAAGGCGCCCTGGTGGCCTGCTGCATAGTAAGTAGCAGCTTGTCCTCGGTATGCAGGCAGAGCCCCAGCCTGCTTGCTTGTTAAATGTTTTCAGCTCAGTGACCAAAGCCAGGGAGCTCCCCATCCTCGTGTCTGCTGGGTGTCCGAAGAGTCTCCCACCCCAGGACCCTCCAGGAAAATGAGAACAGTCCCTGCTACTTTTCAGCCTGTGAGTTTTCATCCAGCAGGGTCTGTAAAGCCTCTTCTCCGTAAACACGGAAGGTTTGGGCTCCTAGAATGTTGCAACTGGAGGAGATCTTAGATGTTGTCCAACTTGCTCACTTTATCGATGAGGACATCTAGGGTTCCAGAGGGGAAGAAACTTGCCCAGGTCACATGTCAAGTCACTAGCAGAGTCTGAGTCCTGACTCAGTGCGCGCATGCTGCTTCAGTGGACACTTTCTGTTAGTTGAACTTCCTGGCTTCTTGGAACACTCTCCCCCTTCCCACTGTGACCTTTAGGGTGACTTACTCAGACCCTAAACTCGGTATTGGTGCAAGAAGAGGGGATTTGGTGAAAGCTAAGCCCTCTTCCAGCCTGAGGGCCTTGGGCATCAAATCACAGAGCTCCCTCGAGAATGGCCGTGGGCTGGGCTGCATTACGATTTGCCCCGAATGAATGGTTGCCCTTTCACGTACTTCACCCCTGACTCCCAGCGAGGGTGGGCTAAGGCATTCCACCTTTCTGAGTCTCTCTCCCCTCAGAATCTGCTTTTCCTGCCCACTGAAGCCTTCGAGGGGCTTATTCAGCACACATGACTGAGCAGCTCGTCTGGTGCCGTGCCGGCCTGGCCTCTCCCCGGGGGCTCAGGGCAGTCCAGCAGGATGCCCAGAGCACAGCACTGGCCTGCAGGTTGTGTTGTTGTTCGTATGATCCCATTCGTTCACAGTAAGAATCATGAACCACAGAGAGATCTGGAGTGGCCCCTGGTCCTTCCCGCATTTCTAAGCCTGCTGCAGCCCCTGTCCCCCACAGTAGCCTCTCCCATTCTCTGTGACAGCAATCTCAGTGCTCGTGCATCTCTCTTTAGACTGTAGCTTCCTGGGGGCAGGGACCGTAGGTATCACATGTGTTGTTCTCCTGTCTCACCGCGGCCCCTCAGGGATCCTAGCTCGGAGTAAGTAAATGCACGCTTCATCAACAAACAGCTAAGGTCAAGAAGCTGATCTTACCTTTCTTGAGAACACTGGAAGGGACACTCTCTTGAAGGCAGAGGGATGAATAAGGCACAGCCCTCGCTCCCAAGGACATCCCAGTGTAGCTGTTCATACGGCCAGGCCACACACGGGAATTACAGGACAATGTGGGGCTGTGGTGGAGACCCGGGCAGGGCACTTTGGGACCAGGCGAGAGCCTGACTCAGTGCGCCGTGGGCAAGAAGAGAGACGGGGTTGGCACGACCACAGCGGGCACCATGAAGAGAGTAGCATCTGAGCTGCCTGCCAGCCTTGGCACAGGATCCCAGCCCAGGGACTGCTGCGTGATGGCTTTATTCATTAGTTTAGCTTTTTTTTTTTTTTAGTCAAGGCTAGAAGAGAGAGAAATTGGGGGAACAAGTCATTAATGAGAGCAGCTGTCACTGCCCAGCTTGTTTCTGATGCCTGGTCCTTTACGTGCAGGGGCAGCGGGGGAGGGGTGTTTGCACTAAAGCGTAGCCCTTTGCTGACTGTGTCCTTCTGGGCTTTGCTCTCTGCAGGAGGATGGCCCATGGGCGTGCTGTTGTGTTTCCTTCTCCACACCACTGGCCTCATTAGAGTCTCCTCCATCCCCAGTTAAAAAAAAAATTAAAGAGGCTGGCCTGGTGGCATAGTGGTTAAGTTCCTGTGCTCCACTTCTGCAGCCCGGGGTTTGCAAGTTCGGATCCCAGGCATGGACCTACACACCACTCATCAACTCACACTGTGGCAGCATCCCATATACAAAACAGAGGAAGATTGGCACGGATGTTAGCTCAGCGACAATTTCCTCAAGCAAAAAGAGAGAGATTAGCAACAGATGTTAGCTCAGGGCCAATCTTCCTCACCAAAAATAATAATAATAATAATAATTTAAAAAAATGGAGGGATCCTTCATAGCCTTCCTCTTTTATAGCCTAGCGCACGGGCCATGTGCAATTAGACAAAGTGTCCGGGAGGACCAGGGTTTCTGTTTAAGGAAGGAAATGAGGGGTCAGACTTTTATTTTGTTTGGCTCTGGCCGACTGTAGCACAGGAGAGGAATTTGGTCCCGGCATTTGTAAAGCACCTACTCTGTGCTGTCACTGGTCTAGACCCTTTACCCATTGGCTCCTTTTAGGCACATGAAGCCATTTTACAGATGAGGTAACTGAGGCTCAGAGACGACTCAAGTCATCTAAGGTCAGAGCTAGTTGACAGCTGCTCCTAGGATGCTCACTGACTCCAAAGCTTTGCCGTCTGCACTTGGCAAGGGGGATGATGGATGGTCACTGGTGCTGCAGGCCAGCCAGAGTTGACCCCGGGCGGTGTGACGTGGAGCCAGCGCTGTAGGGCCCAGGCTGCTTTTAGGGGCCTCGCCTCCTGCTCCTGTCCACATGCCCTCACCTCCAGGCACACCAGCTTCTCAGTACTTTCCAGTACCCTGAGCTCTTGTCTTAGATAGCTGTCCATCTTCATGGAATGCAGTCCCAGTGTCACCCCATCTGTGATGAGATCTTCTGTGTTAGTTTCCCATGTTGCTGCTGTAACAAATTACCACAAAATTTAGTGGCTTAAAACAACACAAATTTATGTTCTTACAGTTCTTGAGTTTAGAATTCCAAAATGGGTCTCACTGGGCTAAAATGAAGGGATTGGCAGAGCTGCCTTCCTTCCAAAAGCTCTAGGAAGAATCCATTTCCTTGACTTTCCCAGTTTCTAGAAGCTGTCCTCATTCCTTGGCTAGTGGTCCCTTCCTCCATCTACAAAACCAGCAAGAGAGCATCTTCAAATCTGTCTTCTTTCACTTTCTCTGGCCTCTGCTTCCATTGTCACATCTGCTTCTGTGACTCTGACCCTCCTGCCTCCCTCTTACAAGGACCCTTGTGATTACACCGGGCCCACCTAGATAATCCAGGGTCATCTCCCCATCTCTCAATCTCTAACTTAATCGTGTGTGCAAAGTCCATTTCGCCATGTAAGGTACATATCTGCAGGTTGTGGAGATTAAGACGTGGACATCTTTAGGGGGCCATTGTTTGATCTATGCCACCTTCCCTTCTGTCTTCTCTGAAGTCAGAATTGTCTGACTCTTCTGGCGCTCCGGGGCCCTTTGCATGCTCTTCCTGCTGTGGCATTCGGCCTGGTTTGATCATAAGTGCCTGCTCCTACGTCTGTCTCCCCAGCTAGACTGTGGATGCCTTAATAGCAGAATCCACGGCTCCATCTCCTCTTGTTCTTCCTCAGTGCCTGGTATAGTGGCTGACACACCATAGGTACTTGATAAACATTAAAGAATGAGTAAGGAATTAGCTTGTGACCTTGGGCAAGACGCTTCCCCTCCGAGCCTCATTTCCTCATCTGTGACTCGATCTTGGAGGCCCCGTGACCTTCTCCCACAGACATGCTAATGGTGTGGCTGACTTTGTAGGAACTGAGCTGGACTTGCTTCTCAGATGGAACCGTCTCCCTGCGATGGCCTTGAAGGTGACCTTTATTTGGGGGTCATGACATGTCTTTCAGTCCCCGTGGGGGTAGGGCATCACCTTGGAATGTTGGCTCAGTCGCTGCAGAGCCGTGGGCAGAAGGCCGCAGCAGCCCGGCTGCCCAGCAATGATACCTGCGTCTGTGAGAGTCAGTCCTGTCACAGCAAGCAGACGTGTCTAGATGAAAATCACGTGGCAAACGGTAACAGGTTCTGTTTCCTCCCTAGCTGTTCTCTATTGAGCCCCTTCCAGAGAGGGAAGACAGTGGCACCCAACACAGACAGAAAACCTACCTGTGTCATGGACTGAACATGGGGACACAGGCACATAGGGTCAGGCAGAGCCGCCTACTGATGCACACCTTCACACAGGTACATAGGACAAAGGTAGAGAACCAGTGCCCAGAGAGACCCAGAGGCACAGAGACAGACCCAGTCATACTCAGGCACATGACATCTGTCCTCTCTCTCCAGCACTCTGAACCACAGACACACACAGGCCGGTGCAAACACAGGCACATACTGACCCTCACAGTCCCCATGTCATGCCTGCAGACAGACAGACACACACACAGAGTCACCCCACCAAGATGTGAACTTCACAGCTGGCCTCATCAGACGCACCCCCTGCAGTAACCCAGGGACTCCCATGAAGCAACAGACACTAGTTCATTTCCTGTCTAGTGACAACTTGGCTATCTGGTCACCTCCTCCCTGACCCTCTAACAGATGGCAAATTGTGGGGCCCTGGGAGGGGTCAGGGCAGGGCTGGGCCGCCATTACTGTGGGTTCAGCAGAGGAAGCAGCTGCTCATGGATTTCATAAACACACAGCAGAGTCTTTCCTGGTTTTCCTTTTCCCGGGGGTGTGGCTCAGCTAGCAGTAGCTCTTTTGTGTTCTGCTGTCTTCCTCCAGGATGTAGGGAAGGCTGAGGATATTCTTTGTCTCTGCCCCCGTGAGGCGACCTTGGGAGAAGAGACAAGCAAGAATCCGAATGTGAAAGAGAGTTCAGTGATGACGACTTCCTCAAGAGAAAGTGGGGTGCAGAGAGAAGGCGACACGTCCAAGGACACACAGTGGTGGAATAGGAACCAGATCCCCAGTCTCTTGATTCTGTCTCAAAAGACTAAAATAGTAACTTAAAACCTTGGTCTATGCCATGAATTTTTGAAATCTTCTCCTTCTCTAAGAGAGAGATTAGCATCTGTTCCTGTTGGATTTATTCCCCTGTGGCCTGGATGAAATGGCATGGATGGGAATGGATGAAATGACCTCCCAAATTTCTTCTGGCCCTAACAAAGCTTAGCTCTTTGCCCAGTAGGCCCCGGGGCTGACCTTGCTGCCCCAG